AATAGATGATAGTTTTCTAAAAAACGGGAAATACTTTCGCGGAGGATAGTTAGCCAAATAAATCCAGAGAATCCGGAAACGACTGATTCCTTCCAAACCTTAAAGATAAATTCTGGTTTCTCCCAGCCGCGTCTTTCTTTAGGGACAAAAGGAAGAAAACGGTCAAATGATAGTGACTTTTGCAGATCTATCTGAACCTCAGCTCAAGGTGTGGCGTTCCGTTCTGTCCTGGACCCCCTCACAACAGCTCCCCCTCCCCTGAGTCTGAATAGTCTCAATTGCAGTCAGTAAAACCTGAGCAGGGAAGCTTGCCGAGTAAGCCATTAGGTTCGACGGCCGTCGGGGTTCACACCTCAGACATTGTCAGCCTGGAGTCAGAGCATGGCTGGCTGACGATGACGGGCGAATCAGAAGCGGTCATTTCCGCCTCCATTTGCTTCTTTGACAAGGGGATGACAAGGTGCATTAAGGAAGTAACTCTTCACAGAACGCCGATGTAGATGCCAGCAGACTCCGATTCCACCCGCACTGGTCAAGAAAATACTCAGTTGTAAGCTCAAATAATTTAGCCTGCTTAATGTGTTTGATCCAGAGGCCTTCTAAGGTTATCGCAATTCCTAGGGCCCCTTTTGCAAAATACAACACTGCTTTTGCAATGCAGACTTCTTGGAGCGCTACGTGAGGCACTCACCAAGTTTTTCGTACTGATCTACCATCGATATGCGGAAGAAGTTGTTCGTCAAACTCTCCGCATTAAGTTAAGTCGTTCAGTAGAGAAAATGGCTCAGTCACAACATTCAGGCATCAAATTAGATTAGGCTAGGTTTCTGAAGTTCTTAATAGCCGAATGACGGTGGGGAATGACAAAGTACGTGAATGAAAATTGGGTTCAATAGTCATGTAATAAGAAGCCAACTTGACATGGGAGGAATACACGGTCTTAGAATGCACGAATGTGTTCTGTTTTATCTCATTCTACTGAAATGCATTAGGCAGCGCGCGGAACTGACCAGACGATGATGCAGGAACGGGTTAACAGCAACTAAGGTGGTTGTGCAACGAGAGGAACTTTATACGTTCTTAGTAAATCAACCACGTACGCACCTCCGATCTGACATGTAAATTATAATTCTTTAGCGAATGACTGGACCAGTTCACTGTTCTTTAGCTCCCATAAATAAGATGGCTCAAATAAGCCGACATAGGCGTTTAATTGATGATCCATTGCGGCATGGTAGCTCCCTACGGTTGGTCTTTCCACACATGGCACATACTTTCTGGAGTGACTAAGTTGCTAGCTGAACTGTCCCGATTTACAGGGCAGAGCAATTAACTAAGGTTTTCCTCAGGGTCTGAATCTTCCCCTGATATGCCATACTCTAGCATGCCTTGACCGCCCTCAACCACAGGCGGTAAAATCGACTGATGCATCACAACTATAATGGGTATTTTGCGTGCGTTCTCACTTAGCTCCGTGAGATGTCAGAGTGGCTATAGGCCAATGCAGTCCACTCGACTGTACTTCCGCCCACAGACCGCTTAGTCTTTGGTTTAAAATTCAGACTGTCTTCTTAGCCTTGCGTCCCTGCATTCTGACCTGAGACACTCACAAATGCAGTAGAGTGAGGACAGGTTCCTAATGAGTGGATCAGACTAGTGCCAGGACACGCGATCTGCTTCTGCCTCCCAACAGTAGGTCTGAATAAGTGGCTGACGGAATAAACCCATAGTCAGACTGGTCGGAACGCATTCAAAAGTGAGACACCACTTTTGCCTACTCTTCCCCATGTGGTGATGTAGCCCCTTTAGACTCTCATCTGTATATTTGAACATAATATTTTGATTTTTCATAGTAATCCCTGACGACGTTTACTGAGTACAACATTGAGAAAAGTCGCAATTATTCATAACAGATCAATTCATATGCTCGTTCATATGCATTATTTGCCTGCCTCTGAAACATGCCGCTGGGGGATTTGATGGCCGAAAATCACAGTGATTTCGAAATCAAAGAGTTCCTTCTCTCCCCCCCCCCTTCCCTATATAACTGGCTTGAATTGCCAGGGCTGAGTGCGGTGTGTGGGTCACGAAATAAATCCGGCGGACGGGAACAGACTACTTGGTGTTTATTGAATGAATACCTGTTACACGCGTTTTGTCATGAGATCTTGCTTGGAATGTACTATTCGAATTTCCAACCCCGCTGTTACAATGCAGAGTCCTAACGTTGTCACTGTTACGGGAACTGAGTTTAACTTCAGAATGACTGGCTAAAAATGCCGTAGTGAGTAAATTATGAGGAGTTTTCGAGAGTTATTGTAGTCGCAAAAAATGTGCTTATGGCTTTCATATCAACATTACCAGCCAATTCGATTTGTAGGTGAATCGACGTCCCAGAGCACAACGTCAACCTTTCCGATATTTGCTGCATCGAGGCAAGGACGGATTATGCATTATTCCCCAAATAACAAAAAACGGCAAGCCAACCTATGATCAGAGTGGAGAATTGTACTTCCAATGACGGCAGTTAGAAATACGATGACGTCTTTCGACCATGTCGGCCTTCTTCTATTGTCTGTGAATGCCACTGCCATCTCTGCAATCTCAACTTTGCTCTCTCTATCCGTGGAGAATTCAGACAAACCGAAACCCCAACAGAAGACGTGCTGTTCATGAAAGTACTGAAGTTATTCGTCCGGGTCAACTGGTCTTCCAAAGTCAGTCTAAATCTACTTTCTTCCCACTTTTATAAATGCTGTCCTTACAAAAGAAAGTCGAACTATGGACATTGCTGCAGGGGATCGAACTTCACCGAGGCCACCCAGTTTTAGACAATGGAGTAGGCACTTAACAGGCTACTGATGCCAATCGCCGAGGTTGTGGGCGTCGGTGAGGGGTCAGCCCTGGCGGGCGCTGTAGTTGCGCTGATCTTCAGATGGTATTGCTACTCCACTGGTCATGGCTGTGAGTCCCGCCAATGACTTATCTTCTTAAATGTCTGGACTGCCGGGAGAGGGGTGGCATCGTTACCGGAAGGACTGTTGAACAAATATCTAGCTGTTGGTGACCCCACCTACTGTCCAGTTTCTGTTCGTAGTCTCGCGAAGGTTTGCTGAATTCAGTGGGATCACTATCGTAACTTCTTTGATCGGAGTGTGAAACTAGTTAAAATTAACCATCGCCAGGGAATTTACGCATGAGGCCTGAGTTGCTTATGCAATATTGGCCATTTGTGTCCTGGCACACACACAGGCTAGGCCTTTATGCCAGGCGAGGCAATCGTTCCAAGCCCTTGTCCAGGTGTCCTAGCCTAGTCTTGCCATTAGAACAAGATATGTGTTCTAGCAGAGGCTAGTGCTGTGCAGTTATTCCTCAACTCCATGATCACAACAGTACCCAAGTCCTTCGCTCCCTCTGACTACACAGAATATCCGCTAGCTTGCAGATAATGCACCGACCAGCGAATCAGCGACGAGGCCAGCTCTAGCTACAGGCTGAATAGAATGATAAATGAGATGATACCGACAAAGACGAGGGAGACCAGAATGGCCATTTCTGGCGCATTGGCCGTCATACCCAACTCCAAGTGTGGATCACTTGAGATTCGAACCCGGGATCTTTGGTCATGGAGGTTGACGCTCTACCATTGAGCCACGGGCCCGTTGTCCTGTCGGTTGTGATCGGGAATATAAATTATGGCAGATGGGCGCTCACCGATCAGGTTACGGAACATGCTCATAATGGGCATCCGTCTTTCCTAGCAAAAATCGCATCTACAAACCAGGACAGCTACCCGAGGTCAGAGGTGGTTACGCGTTCTTTTGAGGTGGTCGAGAAAGGGAAATAAAGATACGAGCCAGAAGTTGCTCTCGTCATCGGGGAGGGCCTATTGAAGAAAGGAAACGGGAGCCAACCCATTCCACACAGACTGTCAATCTCCGGAAAAAAGTGTAGTCGCAGTTATCGGCTCTTACGCAACAACGATATGAAGCCTTGAAGACGTAAGGGGCAAGTTCCACGACGACCCGAAAATCCCAATTACATTCGTACTGAAACCGGACTAACTCATTGTTTTTGGCGGCTTCATTAAATGAGCAGGTGCAGAGGCTGACACTTGGACACAGATGATCGGTCGATGTGGGGTCAGCGGCGGACCTCTTCTGATGAGGAATTCTGCGACACGCGCAGGCCTCATCGTGTGTACCGTCATGGAGGGCTGATCGCAGGCCCATCCTAATAATAAATGAGGTTTGTGATGTCAAATGTTGGACAGACTACCGTATGCTGCTGTCTCATATAAAAATGTCGAATCAAATATAGAGACCGCGTCATAGAAAATTCGGAGGAGAGGAAACTCAGATGGAAACTTGCTTGCCTAATGGACAGAAAGCTTGAGCAACTTCATAAGCATGAGACGCGGTGTAAAGTATGGCCATGGACGCACGTCGACTATTTGCTCCGTGAGAGCGACGAGAATGTGGAATACATGCTACTTAAAAAGAATAAACTACCTCCAACCAACTGGAACAGAAGGACTCCCTCAAACAAAGTTCAACTGCCAGATGCGGGCGACAATGTCAGCAGTACAGTAAAGAAATTAAAAACACCTGAGTGAGCATTGCGGCAAAGACAGCTCGGTGATACACTGACCATAGCGAAATGAAAAAATCCCTTGAGGCTGACGCGACGGTCATGGGCCCACAAGTCATTGACACTTTGTTGCTGCCAGCTCCGTCGGAACAACAACGCTGTCTGGGGGAAATCAAACATCCCGGGTGTTTGAACTTAGCACTTTTGGAGTATCTTCAACGAAGAGGCGGTCAGCGATCCTCATGAAATCTCATTAAACGCTGACATCGATCTTCTGACAACTCATCAACAGACCATGAGAGCAAACCAGAAATAGCGCAGTAGGAAAAGGTAGATGGCGACTCGATGCTTATCAAAACTAACACACGGCACTCCTCAGTTTCTGGTTTAACTGACTTCCCCGTTTCAGGATGTACGAAATCAAAAAAGAATCCCCGTGAGTTCTAAGGACTTCGCCATTATCTGTCCCTATAAACGGAGGAATAATCAATATATTTGCTATGTGAATAGCCACAGTTCCTCCTTCAAACCCGCTGACAAAATTTTCGAGGACACTTTGTATTTACAACTCCAACTTATGCCATAAACAGGGACTTCCGGAGGCACAGGATGGATTCCATACAGAGCACGTAACTGTCCACATTCTCTTTGCAATATGACAGCTGTGAGGAGCCCCCAAGAAATACAAACAAACTTCGAAATTATGTTTTGCGATCTCACACAAAGCTTTGACATTATGAACAGGAGTATACTCCGGAAGATGAAGAAATGCGGCCGCCAATGAAATTCCACTCCTATTCTGAGGCAACTCCACAACGCCTTGTAGGCCCTGGTTGTGGACAGCAAACAGACCTCAGGTACCTTTGCTCGGAAAAGTGGATTGGATAAAGATTGTGCACTGGTTTCAGGCCTCCTTAGCCTCATTCCTTCCACAAAGCAATGGCATCGTGAACGTTTGGGCATTTGTACTAAGCACAAAACAAACAGGAAGCCCTTAAACATTGTCAGACTGTACGCCTTTACAAAATTGGTCGGGGACAATACGCATTGCCCTGGGTTTGCAGACATCTGTGCACTTAAGGTCACCATAGATGCAGACATGAAGCGCACTTCGAACAGTTTGGCCTCTGTCTTAGAAAACTGGGGGTTAACTGTGACCCTGGAGAAGAGTCATGGTGAATCATCGGGGTCGACCATCGAAGACAAGTAACCGACAGTAGCCAGCGCAAGACCGGAGTATCGCCGAAAATAGCCTTCAATGCCAGCGTATATGCGAGGTTCAAAATAGCCTTGGGCTAGATCGCAGTCGGTAGCCAGGAATGGGGAAGCGGACGGCAACCATAACCCTAATCCTAGCCTTAAACCTAACCGTAACCTCAACCTTAAACGTTAACCGTTAACTCTAACGACAACCCTAACCCTAACCGAAATCGTAAACGTAACCGTAGCCCTTAGACATAGCCCTAACTGTAAAACCTAACCGTTATGCTGAAACCTAATCATAAACTCAAACCCTAACCGTAACCCGAAAACCTAAGCCTAGAGGCATAACGCTAACTCGAAAATCGGACGCCATTAACCGGTACCCTAATCCTAACCTCAAATGTGCAACGGAAGCCAAATAGGTCAGATGTGATTATGTAGCCCCACAAGAAAACCCCAGTAAACAAACCCCCCAGCCACCTGTAATACGAGGCCTGGCTACCAACTGAGATGTAGCCTAACCTTGTTTTACGCTTCTACAGGCCTTGCGTCAACAGAAACGACAATATCAATGTGACTAACTTTACTTTTGCTATAGCTGACCGATTGCGCAAGACATTTGGGCTGGGTGGCAACACTGTTTACGGACAACGTAAAGACTTGGGATGTACTCTGTAACAGTGCCGAAGAAGGTACTCTGAAGATCGGGCTAAATTGGCTGAAGGAATGGGCAGATCGTTGGCTTCTACGGTTCAGCATCGGCAAACGTTTCCAACTCTGAGTAGATTAGCCAGACAGTGACTACTACTTCCACAGGACAGCTTTGTGAGACGCAGAATTTCATAAAGATCTCCGTGTGCTCATGCCAGCCACCCTAAAAGCGTCCATGCATTGCTTGAAGGTGGCAAAAGGGCGCGTACAGCACGTCATAAATAAAGTCTTTGAGGATTTTTTTGAAAACCTTTTCTCAACACTTTTGGAACGTTTGGGGACGCGCACAGCGTACGCAATTCAGGCCTGAAGACCTTGCGCGGTAACAATCGGGAGATGGCACCCAAAAAATCCGTTACCTAGAAATAATACCTTTAACAGTGGACTCAAACGCCTTCAGGTTCTATCAGCAGTTGAAGGCCTGCTTTCACGCACTACTTCGACTTTACGCGACGGCCTGACCTGGGCTGGCCGAACGAACATCACAGGAGCTTACATGGACAATGTTCGCTGTTACCCAACTTTCCCCATCGTTACATGCGTACACCTGAATATACGGCATACATTCGCATTAGGGCAGTTTATTACAAAACAAAATCACTTTTAAATAGGATAAGTCTGCACAACATGGGACAGGAACAGTTCCCAGACATCTGTCATAGACGTGAAACTGAGACCAAACCAAAGACGATACTGTACTTTGTCTATGTGAGCCCACACAGCTTGACCACATACAGGGCCTCCCTCGTGGAGTTTCCTTTTCAGTCTGCCTCAGTATGCTCAATGGCATTGGGGTGCCGTCCGGTGGTAGGGTCATTGAAGTTCTTTGAGTGGTTAACAGAGAAATGTAGATAACCTTATGAGGGAAGACGATTATACACCTTCCACTCGTCGGTTACCACTATACTGCCTTTGGCGGCCCATTTTGTAATAACGTAACGGAGAGCGGGCCAAATACGATCATTCACCTGTTCAGATAAGGCTTTCCGTCGGCTAGTATCGTACATCCCGACCAGCTACCACCCATAAAACCCTTATACTACCTGTCCCGTAAGACAGGCTGCTTTGGTTAGGCGGATTTTTTTTTGGGTGCCATCTCCCGATTGTTACGCCCCGGCGATTGGCATCAGTAGCCTGTTAAGTGCCTACTCCATTTTCTAAAGCTGGGTGGCTACGGTGGAGTTCGATCCCCTGCAGCAATGTCCATAGTGTGACTTTCTTTTGTAAGGACAGCATTTATAAAAGTGGGAAGAAATTAGATTTAGAGTGACTTTGGAAGACCAGCTGGCCCGGACGAATAACTTCAGCACTTTCATGAACAGCACGTCTTCTGTTGGGGTTTCGGTTTGTCTGAATTTTCCACTGATATAGAGAGCAAAGTTGAGATTGCAGAGATTGCAGTGGTATCCACAGACAATAGAAGAAGGCCGACATGGTCGAAAGACGTCATCGTACTTCTAACTGCCGTCACTAGAGGTACAATTCTTCACTCTGATCATCTCCCGATTGTTACCCCTTGCGCAATGAAGTGTCAAATGTCACGAAAAATAGCAAATAAAGGTCACTAAGCGGTAATGGGCTAAAACACTGTGCCTTTTGCAATCCGTCAGACAAAACTAAACCTCCTTTTCAGTTATAGTCAGTCGTGGAAATCTGCTGCAAGTACGCCGAATTGTGAACTAGTTGTATTTTAGCCTGACCGCTGGAAGCTAGGAATTTGCAACCGATTTCACCCATTAAAACTTCACATCCAGCAGGCATGGCTGAATGTGCGGCAGTTTTCATTCCCTTCTATGGTACTCAAGCAATGGGGTGTCCCTCCAACACGCTTTTGATATCCACACCGATGGATTGCTTCAACAGAGCCTGGTTAGTTATGTGTCCAGAAATAAGCCTGAACGATGAGAGGCTGAACCTTTCCTTCAGGATTCTTTTTGTGGGCCTTGCTTGACCTTTTCAAATGTACTTAGCTTCTCTGTGAATATGCCCATGCTTTACGTTGCGACTAAAGTGCAAAAAGGCTCAGACCTGTTTTTCCCCTAAATAATTGAACTGAATAACAAAAACCACGTCAGCATGAACCCGAATTATGGGAGCGCCGTCCACGCCGTGAGCGTATGTTCTGGGTTCGGACTGGATCGGTGGGATGCCTATGTATCCCCCAAGCGTGATTAACGCTGGTTCTTGGACTAATCCTATCACCACGGTTCTCAAGAATGAACTCATCTGACACCTCCGAAGCCCTTTAACGATCGCCGAGTCACAAGCAATCTGATGAAGTCGGACATAGTACACAACAAAGGGTGAAAGACGGAACACTAACTACATGTACAGCCTATGTCCTTGCATGCGCGAATGCCTGTTTCGCTTGCTACCACGAAACGCATTCGTCCGTGCAAGACATGCTCTACTCCATATACGACGTGTGCAACCGCGCGGATATTTATTGTTGTGGTTAACGTCTCGAAGATGGCCGATCTCAGTCTTCGTCATCGTCTTCGCCGCCGCCGCCGCCGCCGCCGCCGCCGCCGCCGCCGCCGCCGCCGCCGCCGCCGCCGCCGCCGCCGCCGCCGCCGCCGCCGCCGCCGTCACCAGCGGCGCCTGTCTAAGCGCCCTGCGCGAGCTCATCTGTTTAACGAGGGCGCGATGACTGCAAGTCTGACGCCACGACGCACGCCAGGGAGAGCGTAAATGCGCTGCTGACGTGATACGTCATGCCCCCGCCAACGCCCTTGCTTCTAGACTGCTTGGCTCTATCACGATCCTGCTGCCGCAGACACGACCACCAACCTTCCCCCACCTCCATCGGGAAGTGATCTTTCTTGCGCTTGTGTATGGCACGTGAGACATCAGTCAGACCAATTACAAAAGGCACTGACAGCTTACGCTCTGCTCCGCATCACCCCGACGATAGGCCAGTGTGGAATGACCTTAGTGGTAGCAGGCTGACAGCGCGGCACTAATAATAGACAGCGGAATTGTTATGCTTTGAGGTGCTCTAGTCTTTCAAACCACACACGAGAGCTCGACTGCCGCAAGCGACAAGACCCGCAACTGCCCCACGAGATGCGCACAATGCCGACTCGCATAGAGTTTGTTTTTGATGGGGCGGACTTACAAAACACCTACCTTACTCTCTTTTCACGCCCACCACGTTCCAATGCCATGATAAATTCAGAGCGATTAAAGCTGTGCGAGGGCACGTTGGCTAAAAAAGTTAAATGAGCCGTCGGTGCATGTCGCACTTGACCTGGTCCCTGGGTCCACACATACGACGGTCAGTGACCGATCTCATGACACATTATCCGAAGTTCTGAAATGAGTTTCCGATTAAGGAGGACTACTTAAGTGGGGTTGTCATATTGAGCATCATGTAGCATAAGCAAAAGTGATACAGACTTTTTAAATGCAATTCTACTCGGCCGCCTTCAAAAATCGTACTCGGTAGAAATTCGCCACATAAGTAGCATTCTTTTTTCTACTGATTTTGGATATCCATATAAATCCAAATATATTTTATGGAAACCATACGTTAAAAGTGCCTTCTTTTACTCGTTTGGTAGAAATTCATGGCTTCTTCAAATTTTATATTTGAATAGAGTGCACCTTTTGGTTCCAGAAAAATGTGTAATTATGAGACTTTGAGACCGTGAAATGTCCATTCAAATATCATCGTATCTGTCCGTTTATTAATGCTGCCTATGAAGTATACAGCGTAGTCCACATCCATTTCAAAGTTTTATGAGTCCTGGATGATATCTTCTTAAAGAAATAGAGGTAAATATGATTTTCCCCGCATGGAAAGTATACAGCTTTCAGACTATAAACCCTGAACGCAAATGCGGCCCGCGATCAGACTCAAGATT